ACACAGCACCCTCACACACACACACTGCACAACACTCTTTCCTGGCATTTTTGTCTCCTGGTATCCCATCTATGGAGACAACAGAGACAAAGCAAACACAGTGCAAGCATGTTATTAAATTTTCTTGTGCTGTGCAGATCAAGTACAGGGTCTTTTTCTCATGCTAAAGCTCTTCAGCAGAGCTCCTCGAATGGTCTGCCCTGGAAGAGCATTGAACCAACAAGCTCACTTTGTGATTGGGCGTGCTTGTCATTGGTGATGACGAAACACACCCTACCTGGCCCCGCCCCTTTTTTAGTGGGCCGCTGTAATTAAAAAATGCCCGGGACGAATTTTCTTCCCAGTCTGGCCCTGGATGGGAATAATAGAAGAATTGATGGGGTAGTGGGATTGATAAGCAAAAGGGAGAGAGTTAGTGATAGGTTGATGGGGAGAGAGGAATGAATAGGTGGGAGTGATATGAGATGGGGAGAGAAAGTGATGGGTGCAGATGACGGGAGAATGGCTAGTGAGGGGGGAGAAAGAGGAAGACATGAATGGAGTGAAATGTGAGGGAGAGAAGGATTGGTGACAGTGTTTGTGTGATATTAGTAGATGACGAAATATACAGAAACAATAGAACAAAGTTCCACCAAAAAAGAAAAAGGTAGTACTGTGATTTACCATTATTAAAAAAAATGTTGGTGGTATCAGTGGCAGAGAAAGAACAATGTGTATGGTTCACACTTCCCTAGCAGGGCCTGGTGGGGTAGTAATGTTATGTCACTAACCCTGACCACTAAAAGCTCTGCTCCTTAGAAAAATAGTATGTGGAGAGAGTTGTGTGGGAAAATAGTATATATATACACACACATACAGGGCCGGACTGGGAAAAAAAGAATCCAGCGGGGCACTCGACTGTGTCACTAAGACCAATGATTTGTGTGATTGTAATATTGTGTGTGGGTGCTGTGTATGATGTAGGCAAGAGTGTTGTGAGTGTTGAGTGTGATTAGTGCTGTGTATAATTGTGTGTGCCTGCCAGTGTTATGTGTTTGAGAGTGTCTGTGTGAGGTCCTACTCTGCTGAGTGTGTGATAGTGTTGTGAGTGCTGTGTGTGATAGTGTTGTGAGTGCTGAGTGTGATAGTGCTGTGTATGATGTGTGTGAGTGCTGAGTGTTATGTGTTTGAGAGTGATGTGTGAGAGTGCTGAGTGCTGTGTGTGATAGTGTTGTGTGTGATAGTGCTGTGTATGTGTGTGAGAGTGCTGTGTTTGTTGTGTGTGAGAGTGCTGAGTGTGAGAGTGCTGTGTGTGTTATGTGTGAGAGTGCTGAGTGTGATGTGTGTGTGAGAGTGCAGAGTGTGATGTGTGTGAGAGTGCTGTGTATGATATGTGTGAGAGTGCTGTGTATGATGTGTGTGAGAGTGCAGAGTGTGATGTGTGTGAGAGTGCAGAGTGTGATGTGTGTGAGAGTGCTGTGTATGATGTGTGAGAGTGCTGTGTATGATGTGTGAGAGTGCTGAGTGTGATGTGTGTGAGAGTGCTGTGTATGATGTGTGTGAGAGTGCTGAGTGTGAGAGTGCTGTGTGTGATGTGTGTGAGAGTGCAGAGTGTGATGTGTGTGAGAGTGCTGTGTATGATGTGTGTGAGAGTGCAGAGTGTGATGTGTGTGAGAGTGCTGAGTGTGATGTGTGTGAGAGTGCTGAGTGTGATGTGTGTGAGAGTGCAGAGTGTGAGAGTGCGATGTGTGTGAGAGTGCAGAGTGTGAGAGTGCGATGTGTGTGAGAGTGCAGAGTGTGATGTGTGTTGGGGGGGTAAATAAACAAATAAAAAAAATAAGGGGGGGGTAAATAAAGAAATAAAAAAAAAAACTAAGTAGGCATTAAATCCCCCCCTCCCTCTTACCTTTAGCCTGGGAGGGGGGGACAGGCACGTGGTGTCTGGGATGGGAGGGACCGGCACGGTGACATCATCCCGGGTGGTCCAGTAGTGAGTGAACTCTAGCCTGAGGGCAACGCGCCGGATCTCGCGAGAGGAACTCGGCGGAGCAGCAAGATAGAGCTCCGCCGGGTCCTCTCCCTCCCTCCCCAGCCGCAGGTCTGTTTAAATGGGCCGGTGAGGGAGATCTTTGATCTCCCCACCGGCCCTCCATGGAATACAGCGGGGCCGGCGCTCGGATAGTGCCGGCCCTGCATAGACCGGCAGGGGAGATCCTGAGACCTCCCCTGCCGGCCTCGGCCCATGGCCACCGCGGCCCACCGGGCATTTGCCCGGTGTGCCCGATGGCCAGTCCGGGCCTGCACACATATACATACATATATACAAAATACAGAATCCAGCGCACTCGCTTATTCACTAAACAATGATTTCAAATCTTAGAGATTGTAATAGCTTTATTTAAAAACACCTCACCTAGGCAAAAAAATAATGGGGGTTTAGTTACATTATATGATCATACATTGCATAAGCCTGCCAACTACGTCAAAGTACCCCATTCTTGGCAGGTCCTACTCTAACAGCCTAATGCTTGCTCTTATGAGATTAATCCACTTACTTGGGAAATACTTCCTTACTGGGACTCTCTGCAGGTCACGGCTAAATTTTTTTGCCTAGGTGAGGTGTTTTTAAAGAAAACTATTACAATCGCTAAGATTTGAAATCATTGCTTAGTGAATAAGCGAGTGCACTGGATTGTGTATTTTGTATATTTTGGCCCCAGCAATAAATTGCAGCTAAACAGGTAAAAGAACATTTTCAAATAAAAAATGATTTCTCCAATATTAGGACTGAACTCATAAGAGTTGAAAATAAACAAAATAATGGTTTTATGTGCAAGGAAATTTGCCCAACATTTTGGCCTCATAGTCACATCATGTGAAGTCTGGTAATGTAACTCAATCAGTATACTGTTTTTTTTTTTTGTTTTTTTTTTAATTCTTGAAGGGTTTTACCAGCACAATGACCACTCAATTTGAATGATGTATTCCAGGGCCCTTCACCTTTTAGTTTTAAGGAATATCTGAATACTGCCGCTCTTTGAACCTCCTGATAGTTAGCAGCCCTCAGCAGTCCACAGGGATAAACTACAGCTGGCCACAGGGAAATTCCCAAATTCCCAATGGGAAAGTCCAGGCCTCTTCTCAGCTACTTATACTACCAAAGACATTGCCGGTGGCCTTATAACTTTGGGCCGCCTGCAATAATAAATAGAAGATATGATACCAGTCAAACTGATCGCCACCATACTGGAAAACAATAGGCAGCTCAGGGTTGGTCCAGGAGATCTTTTAATCTGGTTGCCAGCTTGTGGAAACCCATGAAAGGTTTACAAATTGTATGTATCGGGTCTTGATGCATTTCATGTTATTGTTGTTTCGTTTATTACATTTAATGAGATCTTTGCTCACTAACATTTTCTATCACATTGTAGGAAAAGCTGTTGAGTTTGGGATTTACAGTTTCTAAATAACCCTAGCAGTCATTCACATTTCGCATTCAGACCTTTGGTTTTCAAACAGTTAATACAAGCAATGGCCATTTGGCTTTTTTTTTTTCTTGTACCTTCAAGGTTAAGAAATTTAAAGTGAAAGCATCAATTAATGGCCATTTAGCTTTTTTTTTTTTCTTGTACCTTCAAGGTTAAGAAATTTAAAGTGAAAGCATCAATTAATTCAAAGTATTGTTATCTTACATATTAACCTACAAGTCCTTCTTTTTTTTTCTCTCCCTTTGATCTATGCCTGTATTGCTATCAGACACATTAACCTACATGTCCTTTATTTTCTCTCTCACTTTGATCTATGCCTCATGATGCAAACATTTGCAATGCAAGTGTGTAAGACACATGGCCTTTGTATCTACCTAGCAATGTCCCCCCTCCACCCCCCCATAACAACCTCAGCTCAATAAGGAGTTTCTTGCTTTCAGTTTTTCCCAGCACACACCACCTCTGTCTTCTCGATGGGGGTTATGTATATGGGACCTGCCTGAAAGTCCTATATTTGAACCTGTAACTTTCTAAAATCCCATAAAACCTGCACACGGGGGGTACTGTTGCATGCGTAAGACATTGTTGAACACAAATATGAGTGATTTAGAGCAGTAAAATTACAATGATTTCATCATTGAAAATGTTTTTCTGTTTAAAATGCAAAAAACAAAAGTGAACACTAAGTTTGGCCAGGGTTTGTTACTTAGTGGCTACTAAAAATAGAATAACCTGTCTACTCTTGCAAATAGTATGCCATGATGGGGGTAATTTAATTCCTGGGCTGCCATACAGTCTCAAAGGTGACATAGACCCAGAAATCCAATCTGGCAGGTTTTAAAGTGTAAAAACTGAAATGGGCAAGCTCTTCATTTGACCCTGAAAACAAAACACCATGAAACCTGCAAATGGGAGTCATCAATGTACTCATGGAGCATTAGAGCATACAAATATGTATATTTTATTGCAGTAAAAGCTAACAGTACTTGGACATTCATAGTTAAAATGCATTGCAGAAACCTATTTCTCCTGATCAAACTGATGTATAATAAGTGTGGAAGCACTTTATATGTAAGAGGTAAATTATGATTGAACAGAACTTAAACAATTGCCTCCATCCTCAAAAGAATACTATAGTGTCAAGCAACATATACCTGACACTATAGTCTTGCTATGGCTGTTTAGGTCCCTGGTCCCTCTCCAATGAAGAGTTGTTTTAACTCACCTTTTCTCCCACTCAGTGCCAGTCATTTACATTGAAAAGCCTGCAGGAACAGGCTACAGAGACCAGAACGTTGCATTAAGCTGTAGTGGTCCGGGTGACTATAGTGCCCCTTTAAGGGGTTAAGGTTCTAATGATTCATAAAAATGTTTTATGCAACATAACTAGCAGACAATCTATGTAAACCTTCCCAGGCACCAAAAGTTAAGTCTGTAACCATGTGCTGATCCTCTGATCCCTAAGAGTACAGTGGGAGGGGTTAACTTGGCTCCTCTCCCAAATCAGTCACTTTTTATGTGTACAGAATTTCCCAGCAATTGGATTTTGGTTTCCTGCTTTATATATCATTTGCTGTGACGTGACTGGTAAACAACCAAGAACATTAAAAGAACTGTGTGCAGGAGTTGGTGAAACAAAGGCAGGCGAGGAAAGATACAATCAGCATCTAGAGTGGAAACAGCTGAAACTGATTCAAACATTTCTAACTCATTCTGCATCATAAGAAATTCAGCATGTTGCACAACGTTGTCTCTTCGTGCCTCCTGTCTGCCTTTATCATGATTTTGGTATTATGTGTGTCTAATTCCAGTGGTAAGAAGCAATTATCATTACAATGATTTTTTTTAATTTTTATTATTACAACCAATATATACCGGTATATGTTTTACTTATTTGTTTGCAGAGATTACAATGTGACTATTTTCATAGAAATTTATATGCAAGTCTTTGTTTATTCTATTATTTTGGATAATGGCAAAATTCTTTAAATAAATTAGATCACATTTTGCGATTCAAGGGGTTAGTTATTAAAAAAACAAGAGACTGCGAATTGTAAAAAAAACTTGTCAGCACAGAAAAGTTGTAATTATTTCCTAAATCATTCCTTTTTTTATCTAACTCTGATTTACAAATTTTATATCGCAGGTCTTGATGCATTTCATTTTATTTATTTATTGTTTAGTTTATTACATTTTATGACATTTTGGCTTCTTTGCTCATTAACATTGTTTATTACATTGTTGGAAAAGCTGTTGAGTTTGGGATTTACAGTTTCTAAACAACACTAGCAGTCATGACTTGGAATTTGCAGCAATCTGCTCCCGAAAGCATTCACAGATCACATAACACAGACAAAGATATTTAACAAGTAATCCAACAGAAGAGATAACCATAATGTTTTATGTCCACATAAAATAGACAGTTACTTTTTCAAAAAGTTCTGCAATCTAATGCACACTGAAAAATAGAAATATCAGTAGTTTTATCATTAAAGCTATTACTTGGAATGTGAAAAAAAAAACTTTGAAATATCACTTACTAACTATTTTTTCTAAATGTATCTTCTAATCTTTTTAATTCTTGTATTTTCATTATATGTGACATCATATATTTTTGTGCTGCAAATTCATAATAATTATTATATAACATTGTGTACAGTAGGTGCACAAGTACTCTAATAATAATCCAGGAACAATGCAGATAAAATAACATGAAAAATCTATTAACCACTGTGGGTGCAGAATAAAAGTCATTTGATACTTTCGTATCATCTAAAAAACATGTGTGCACTAGTTTAGACTTAACAGTCAAATGATTGCTTCCAACTACATGTGCAATGTTTTATTCACAGGACTATGTTTATTAGACCACTTTTGATTTTGTGTATGATGCTAATCTTCATTTGATCAATGGTTTTGTATCTATCTGCAGAAGCTGAATTGCGTTGTCAGTGTGCAACAACATCATCAGACCTTGTGCACAAGAAACATATTGAAAAATTTGAGATCATCATCAGTGGTCCTCACTGTCCAAGAAATGAAATTATGTAAGTATTTAATGACTCTTGGAATACTGAACTATTTGTGTTTTTCGTTCAATAATTACCAAGTCCTAGAACACAATATTTTTGCGTTACGTTAGCAGAGTTACCATCATATCAGCCTATTTCCTGATACTGCTCCACTTAGAAAATACATAACCTTAATTTGCTAGTAAATTAAGCGGACACACAGCCTGCAGTTGACACCTCCTGCCTTAGAAGAATAATATAGGCACCAAAACCACATCTTCTCAATGAATTGGTCCGGTGTGCCATGTCCTCCCTGTTTTATCCCTGCAGCTAAAAACAAACGTCACTGTTCTGCAGCAACAGCAATGTTTTCTTTACAATGTTTAAATACCTCTAGGTGCTGGCACTCAGACAGTCATTAGTGATGTTTTCGATTAAATAGCAGCGTAAAACTCTGTTATTTCTATCATACGTACAGTATGATTGATCTGGTTAGCACAGTGATACCTTTTGATTCACTAGCCTCCCAATGTTTTCCGCAAAGAAAGTATTGGATTGGCTCAGATCATAAGTCTCAATGATCTCAGCCAAAGAAGTGGTGTTGCATACCTGAGTCCAGCTTTGCCAGGGAGTAGACATAAGTAAACTCACCTTTTTAACACTTGCAGTGGGGGAGGTTACCTAAAAGATTACTAGGGCACTATAGTGTCAAGAATCCACACTTCTATTACTACTGCTACAATGTTCCTTTTTTATTCACTTTTTAAAAACATAGGATATCAACTTCACACAGCTCTCAGAGGGAGTGCTGATCAGATTAGTATCTCGGCACTAAATCATCAGTTACATTCATGTCAAGAAATTAATGAAACACCACTCCAAATAATGAATTTACTAGATTGCAACATTTGCATTTTGTTCATCAAATTAAACAGACGAATGGCAGTTACTGAATATAAAAATGTTTGACAGTAATATAACAAATGTATTACATTTTGTTTTAGTGTTATTTTAAAGAATAAGAAGCAGTATTGCCTGGATCCAGAAGCTAAACGAGTAAAGAAATTGATGAATGCTCTTAAGAAAAGGTATCTCTCTACAATTTGAATAGTCTATGATTATTTATTATTATTATTATTTATATAGCATCATCAGATTCCTGTACAATGGTAATCTGGATATGTATGAATGTGGGTTTATTGCCTAGACATAGTGAATGTTCTATAATTAATAAAATGCTTAATATAGAAGTGAAATGTTGATGCAATAAATGCAGAAAGGAAACAAAAATTAGGACGTAGTGGCATGTTATGCTCCTAAAATATGTAATTTGATAGCTGTCAAACAATCTCAATTCTGGCAGATTTTAACCCAGATTAGTAGATCTATATAAGATTATGTTGCATACATGTTGATTCCTTTGCAATTCTATTGATTCATGTAACAATCTAGATACTAAGAAGAAATGTAGTGAACGATCGTCCTATTTAAACACAAGTTATGAGGCACCTATGTTAGGGAATGGTGTTTATCCCAGAAGCTTGTTGACTAATGTAAACAAGTGAAATGATGTCAATGCTTAACAGCAATAAGCATTGCAATTATCTGTGATGTGTATTAATTATATGATTCTACCACATAAATCAACAGCAATTGGTTTCAAAAATTATAAACACAAGTGCCCGTGTGACAATAGCATGTGTTTGCATGATAAGAAAACTTACTATCTTTTTAAATGATATCATATATAAAAAAAATAAAAATAAAATATATGAAATATATAATAATGGTAAAATAGTAATATCAATAGTAAAATATTACAATATTTTTCAAAATATTAAGTTATTTTAAAAGTATATCCAAAATATTAAATTGAGGCCTTATTTGGAAGTGAGACTCTCACGTAAAACTTCCTCAGTTATTCCTATACCACAGTCCAATGCATTAAATGTCCAACATATACCCTATTTTGCTGCCACAAATGGGAAATTTATCTGTGGGCATCACCTCCCACCTATTTAAATAAACAAAACAAAGCTACTGTGTAAACAAATAGAAATTACAGATAAATTTAATTTACTCATCTGAGTGTTTTCCATCATTGAATTTAGATGACTTGCATATGCTTGATTAGCAATATAGGTGAATATTATATATAGTTTTTTATAAATGTAAATACATGTATTATGATGATTAAAGATTGTGGGTTATCCTTTTAAAAGGTTCGTTGTAAAGCAAACTCTTCCATCAAAAATTCTGTTTTCCATTTGTTAAGATGCATAGCAGGGATACACAAATCAAAGTGACTCCATGCTGTGTCTGCTATATGACCTGATGTGTGTACTGTTTACTTTACAGTTAACACTGTCTAAGGATACCACTAGAAATTATCTGCCCGGAACCAACAAGTAGTTTCAATAAAAATACTATACTGTTAAACATATTGAATTGTACGACATATTGTCCTTTTTTGGCATATATAAGAGAGAGAGAAAATCCAGGAAAATAAGGGTATTTTCTTTCAGAATATCAAATGTATACAAAATTAAATATCTTATTATAATAACCATGTTATTCTTAATGTAAGTAATTTTCCATAGATCGGAATTTGGAAATTGTTTATGGTCCTAGATAATAAGTTTGGAAAATTTACATCAATATATAAAGGTTTCACTTACACGAACCTTTGTAGATAATATATAAAGAATGGATTGTGATTTAATTGTACAATAGCCAGCTGGACTAACCTTGCCTTTTTTTTTTCTATTTTTTTTCTAAATTTTGTAGGCCATTTTCCAGAAATTGCAGAAATAGCTCCTGTGCTCCTACATGGCCTGACAACATTAATTTGTAAACTTAATTTTTGTATCAACTGTACTACAGATCTGGCATATTGAATACAAATGACTGTTTAAAAATACAGAAGAACAAATTATGCTTGGTGTAATAACTGGTCCTTTTACGTAGGATGATATCAAAGCAAGAAATGAAATAATATTTTATTTCTGTGTATATGTATGAATGCATCCGATATTCATGGTGCGATGTGTAAGTGATTTATAGAGTAAGATCTCATTGCAGAAGTCGAAGTGTGTTGTCATTGTATAAAATCAGTCTATTTTGTAGTGTTGAAAATGGCATACAGTGTTCTATTTTATTTTTATAATGTTTATATTGTAGTGTAAAACATGTATACTATGTTTTAATATTTCAAAATGAAATGTTTTCTTTTTTAAATTTCATACAGGTTTTATTGCAATGTCTTGTAATATAAAAACAGATCAAGTAAAATGCTTAAAAGGTGCAGACACTGTTTACATGGAAGGGTTAAATACATCTCTAATGGCTGTTGGTAGGACAGCCACTAGAAACATTTTCGCAGCACTGACAGAGTAAAACCCGGTCACGTGACGCAGAACCCCCTAAAGGAAAGTATTCGTTTAATGCTTTCCTGTAGGGAAGCTTGAATGTGTGTACAGTGATTGTTGTGCATGCACATTAGGTTTGCAATGCTTCTCTATGAGAGGCATTGGATTGGACCAATGAGGAGGAGGCTATGACTCCTCCGTGACGGTGTGGAAGGCAGAGAGGAAAGCAGCACTGAGGGAGCCCCAGCACTATAAGTTAAGTAAAAAAAAAAGTTACTTTTTTTTTTTTTTTTTATTACAAATGGGTTGGGGCATTTCTGTAAAACAAGGGAGAGGGACACTATAATATTAGGAATATAGGGTTTGTAGTGTTCCTTTAATGCAAAGTTATGTTTATTGTAAAAGGCCTTACTTTGCTGAGACGCCATTTTATTTTTTTAATACACTTTTTAAAGGATATCATAAAATAGTAATATCAATAGTAAAATATTATAATATTTTTCTAATTAAATAATTTTAAAAGTATATCCAAAATATTAAATTGAGGTCTTATTTGGAAATTAGACTCTCACCTGAAACTTCCTTAGTTACTCCACAGTCCAATGCATTAAATGTCCAACATATACCCTATTTTGCTGCCACAAATGTGCAATTTATCTGTGGGCATCACCTGTGGGCATCACTGTGTACTGTTTACTTTACAGTTAACACTGTCTAAGGATACCACTAGAAATTATCTGCCCGGAACCAACAAGTAGTTTCAATGAAAATGCTATACTGTTAAACATATTGAATTGTACGACATATTGTCTTCTTTTTGCATATATAAAAGAGAGAAAATCCAGGTAAATAAGGGTATTTTCTTTCAGAATATCAAATGTATACAAAATATTTTTATTATAATAATCATATTATTCTTATTGTAAGTATTAGTAATATTAATATGAGTTTTATTATAAAAGTGCATGAACACATGTTTAATAGTTCACATAACATGTTCATGCACTAGTGTGTGAGAGGAGGTCTCATTAAAGGGGCACAGAAACAACTTTAGTGTATCTTATAGCTTTTATGCTCCATAGCAGGCTGTGTGTTCGTTCTAAAATGTGCATATTTTGAAAAAATACACTAAATAAATGTTTTGTTTAACTCTGTCTTACCATTTAATAAAATGTTATAAATCATTTGAGGTAACTGTCTGCTTTTATGTGGTTCTCCAATTTACTTTACATTTATATTAAAGAGCTCTATAGGGTCAGGAACACAAACCTGTATTCCTGACCATTTAGTGTTAAAGAAAAGTATCTAGCCCCCCTGACTCCTCCACTTGCACCCTTAAACATGGTAAAATCTTTCCTTTATTCCAGTCTGCTGGTGCTGGCTATCCTGCTGATCTTCCTCCTTGGCTGACATAATCAGAAGTGGTAATTTCAGCCAATCACAATGCTTTCCCATAGAAAAACATTGGATGTTGTCAAGAAGGCAGATCCAGCACAAGCCAAACACAGCCCTGGCCAATCAGTATCTCTTCATAAAGATGCTTCATGCAGGAAGCAGTCTCTTACAACCATAATGCTGGCTAAGAATCAGGGTAGATATAGCCCACGACATCTGGAGAGCCACAAGTTACCTACCCAAGTTCGTATACAGTGATTATGGCAACTCAGAACCATAGGCTGTTGTCTGCATGCCATAACACTCAGTCTGCATTACTTTGAAGCGTGGAGGGGTGGATGAAGATCTGGAGGTGATACAATCTGGAATTGGGACTGCCTCTCTCTGCTGGCCAGCATGTGGTGTTGGTTAAATCTTGCATAATGCCCAGTGTTTTGCTTGTGACATGTCTCACTCGTGTTTCATAGCGCCCAGTGTTATAGTACCAATTATAACTGTTCAATGTACTGCTTACTTCTACTCACATTTTTACATGATTGCAGTCCTGGGTCATATTCCATTAGTATCACTTTATTGTGTTATCGCTATTTACTTAATGTCTCTGAGTGATGTGATGCTATATGTCTTACCTAGGCAGTGTACATTTTCCTATCGTTTATTGTTATATTTTACATTATTCAATTATGCTCTCATATTAAGGAGTTGTTACCACAGCACTTCTGTTGATTATACTTATGTCATAACTCCTTTTTCATTTATTTCTGTAATGTTTCATTAATTTGCCTCAATAAAAAGAAAGATTGACAAAACAAAAATGTTTTAGTCCATGCAAGGACTTTTATTGAGATGGCAAAAAATGTCTACATCAATTGTGGTACACAGCTGATACATAGGTGAAAAAGGCTGTCATTATTTGCAAAAATATCAAACATTATAATAAAGAAGAGTGCAATATAACAAACAATTGAATAAACCAAATGTGACTAAACCAAAACCTACAGTAGATATGCTGATTCTGCAGAGACATGTGAAATAGTGCTACAGTAGGGTACATAGTAGAGTCATAAACTATTAGGGATGTGCATGGGCAAAAAATTTGGTTTGGTTCGGCACTTCCAAAATTCGGGACTTTGGCAATCCGGGACTTCGGTTCAGTTCGCCAATCTGAAATTCTGGACTTTGGCAATTCGGGACTTCGGCACTTTGGCAATTCCCTAACCTATCTCCAACCCTAACCCTACCCCTAACCCTAGTAGGGGTGGGGTTAGATTCCTGTCATAATTCCCTTAATTTTCCCCTCCCTCTCCGGTTTTGCCACTTTTCAGAAATCCGAAGCACTTCAGTGTCACGGCAAGGGTGTATAATTTATTATTACACTATGGAATATCCTCCTTTAATGTAATTTGTGTAGTAAATGGCACAAATTACAGAGATGCTATTGCTGAGGTCAACAGGGGTTACATCTTTTGAAGCTGGGACCCCCACAGAGGTCAGATGACAGAAGGGGTAGTATGAATGGCATAGGAATGTGAAAAGGATTTTACTATATGGATGTGAAGTAATCAAGGCTCTGCAAGGTGTGAGGTTCTACACTTGGAAAATGTCTGAATGTCTCTTTATCCATTTGGCATGTACCTTGTAAAGGATAGTTCAATCATTTGAAATGGTAATGGGATTAGTTTCATGAAGATCCTTGTGTTCCAGTATCTTATCCAAGTGAAACATTAATACTTACCCACAGGTTAATAATTAAGCCTCATTTTTAGTATATTTGGAATGGGACAAGCCCAATCTTTTAATTAAGCCTAAACATGAGTTGCACAACTTAAAACGTGTGGCAGGACTTGTGATGTCTGTCCTATTGGATTGTGGGCGGGGCGTGCAACATGTCTTTAGAATGGGAACACAATAACAAATTCATAGAGGCAATTATTATTTCTGTGGCAAGTACAGTAGAGGAGATAAAACCAAAAGTTTGTATGTGGCTTGTTTTCTGGAACAAAGGAGGTGGTCACTTAGTATCCCTATTGCTCCACCCCTGGGTGAGGCGTGGCAATTCACAGGGTATATCTCCTTTGATCCTGAAGGGTGTTTGTGCACTTGCTTGGGGCCAAGATCTAATTTTGAGTGAGCCACCATCTTTCCTTGCCAGAGACCCCCTGGACAGAAGTTGTACTTTGAAAACCTAAGTGAGTAATTAGGACTTCTGTATTTTATCCTTTTTGTTTTTATCTGTTGTTGGTGTTAATAATTTGTTTATCGTATATTTGTATATGCACTGTGACCATTTTTTGTTCATAATAAACATTCATTTATTAAGTTCTGCCTTTGTCTGGTTAAGAATCACGTTACCTGAAGAGACTAGTTAGTATTTTTGTAATTCCTTGAATATTGTACTAAGTAATATTTGGTGGGTTTTATTGTTGATTTACCTGGGGGACCAAGGCACCCCATTTATAAATTGTCTTGGTGGTGGCAGCGTTAAAATAGTAATAGTTATATTATTTAAGTGTGGGTGGTGTTAAAGGGGGATTTTGTCATTATTTCTGGTCTAGTGCAGACAAATAGGGAACTTTAACCCTTTCACAACCACAACTACGTCACGCACACTCTTGGAGTATGATGCGTTCGTGACATTCGGCACTTCTGAAATTTGGCAATTCGGTTTGGTTCAGCACTTCTGAATTTCGGCACTTCGGTTCATCACTTCCAAAGTTCAGTACTTCTGCACTTTGGACATTCTGAAGCATCCGAATGTCCGCACTGCCAAAATTAGTCCGAACTTAAATTTGGACCGAAACAAATTGCACATGTCTATAAACTATGCAAAATATTCCGTGACACAAAAAACAAACAATACTTAAGATAAAAACAAAAATAAAATAAAATCAGTAAGCAGAAAAGTAATCGCAGTAAGAATATTAGTTACAGACATGAATAATGAAAGCTTAAGATTAAAGGAACCCTCACGGCACCATAACCCATACAGTGTGCTAGATCATGAGATCTTAGAAGTAAGCAAGTCAAAAAAGCGTATTAATCTAGTATGTCTCACAGCAGCTTCATGTTCACAAACACTCATTGTTAGAATCGTAGAATTTTTAACACTCAGCACAACAAATTCTATGCTACTGGTTTATGTAACCTCCCATTTGGTGCAGTGCATATCTAGTGCTTGACAAATGTATTCACTAAAATAAGCAAATTTGCACGGCAATGACAATTCTCATTTTTAGTAAAGCTAAATGCAGTTGTAATTCGGTGTTCAGATTAAGTTAGTGCTTTCTCATCCAAATTTTATACAAAGTAAAGGATTCAGAGGATTCACAAAGCACTGCTGTTAGTAAAATGTGGAACATCATGTATCCAGCAGGATGCACACATGCAAATTATTGTTCACTTTTGTCAATTGAAAATTTGAAGTACTATTTGCTCACTGACAGTGGACCTGTGAGCATCAATTAAAAAAGGTGTGTGTGTGGGGGGGAGGGGGTGAACAGATCACCGCCCACCTCCCATTCCTCATTGTGGGCTACTAATTTAAATAATAACAGAGGACTACATACTGGGAAAATTGCGACACGTTTTGAGATAAGTATGACTTGCCTTTCAGAGTTTTCTGATTGGTTTGCTTACAAGCTAAATAATCAGAGTTCCCTGACTAAAATTGCCCTTTTAAGGGCTTTTTCTCACAAAACAAGCGGAGTCTGTGGGGGACAAAGATGGATAACTTTTATTGTGTCATATATTTTTTTCATTATTTTATTACAATCCTGTGTTTTGTTTTTCTTTTAAAAGTAGCGATGGGACTTATTATAAGTAGAGCTCCTGCCCACTGATCATGGTGTTGGAAATAGGCAAAACTATATCCCCCCAGCTTTATTATTTAAATAAGTATCAATATATTACAGGCATGGGGGTGGACAGGTTTCTGCCCACTCCCCATTTTTTAATTGAAGTCCCACCTTATAACGGCAGATTGGGGCACAGGGGAGCTCCTACCAAGTCCCTACTGTACGTTATGTCAAGACCGACCAAATAAGCCAATATCAGAAAATTAGATAAGAAGTAATATATAACACACTCTCAGGTATGCAGAAACCACAACAGTGCAATGAACTAAGAACAACTGGGAAGTTAAATACACTAAACTGTGTAGTGATTGGTTACATGTATGTGTGATGCCATGAGGAAATGACATGGCATAAAAAGGCGCAGAAGCACTGACAGCTTATTTTTGAGACAATGTCACCCCAGAAGTTCCAACGCCTATGGTGTGGTTGGCCAACAAAAGTGGCCACCCATAACAAAAGACTAAAGCTTTGAGATTTGCAGGATGCCCTCAGAAAACTATAAAGTACACACAAAACAATCCCTAACCCAAATACCCTCACGCAGCTCACGTCGGTTAGAGGATGTGGCAAGGCAAATTATTCTGCTGGTGGTACATAGGCCCACTGAGCTGTTTTTCCACCACAAATTTATGCTTGCTGAGTCCACTATGTAACACTGTTATCATTTTTAGTTTATATACTTCCTGTTAATGTCCTTTGACCTTTCAAACATGTCATGTGACCTAATTTAGGGTCAAAGGTCAAATAAGACACCATTTTCAATTTGCTGATTGTTTGGACCCTATATAAACCCACATATGCCCGGATAATATTATGTACACTCAAAGAAGCCCTTGTGGCAAAACGTGTTGTGGACTTTTAATTTGTTTTACTACTGTGTTTATAAAGGTTTTTTGGCTACTTTTACATTGAGTTTGCCATTTTACTCTTTTTACTCCGTTATTATTCTTTTATTATTTTATTGCCTGGTATCCTGATTTTACCCCCAGCAAGAACTACTCAAGAAATCCTTAGGTGGGAATTATTCCACCCACGCCCTATCCATGGAGCAGTTTGTCTACTCTGGCAAATGTGAGTAATATTCTCTTATTTATTCTTCCGGTTGATTTTATACAGTGAGCACTATTGTTGTTTATTTTTATTTTTTGGTCCACACATCAATAAAACCATTCTTCACGTATCCTATAAGTGGGGATTGTACCAGTGTATGCCTTTCATACTAGAGCTGGTTTTAAGCTCTAAAAAATGTGAATAGGACCATATATACTTTTTATTCTTAATTTTATACTTTCTGGACATACTGAAGCATTATCCTCTCCTTCTTTCCATCTGATATCCCAACAAGAACATTTTCCTTGAACAAGTTTGTGATTGCTCCTCCGGAAAATATATACCATCATATTTTATTGGACTCTATCTCGAACATATATTCAATAATTTGTATTTAATTTTTTATTATTCTATTTATCTTATTTTATATTTATTTGTATTTTAGGTCTCTTATTCTATACCATTTTTTTAAGTGTATCTATCTATTGTAGACCTTTTTAGGCATCTTATGTTGGTTATAACATTCTCACCAGTCTCTTTTTAGAGTGGCGCTAATCCTCTACACTTTTTTATATTTTGTACTTACCTTAATAACACAGCATTAAATAACACTTGATAAAAGCGCACACAAAATACCAGAAGGATGTTACCTGTAATATATACAATTATGGTAACCAATGGTAGATGTTCCTGGTATATACTTGTAAAGGACATACTTGATGGTATATGTTACCTATACCTATATAATCAAACAGCAAAAACATAGTGTAATCTGTATAAAATATAATAAAGGTGAATATTGAAGAGCTGAAACCACTCACAATTTGTTGAGCTGATTGAAAGTTGGCTCAAAACTTATACAGCATGCATGTCTCATCCATGGACATAGATGAAATTTTCCTTTGGATGGACTCTCTGAACATTCAGGAACCAGGGATTTGGAGTAAAGAAAAATTCTTCCCTTGGATGGATTCTCTGGTTGTTGTCCAATCTCATATAATGAGATATAAAGTCAGGAACCAGAAATAGGAAATATATTTTAAAAAAAGGTTCATTACTTTTCATAAATAAAATAAAGATATGCACAACGCGTATCAACCACTAATGTTTGGTCTTCCTCAGGTGCTAGTCAACATCAAAGTGAACATAAAAACAATTTATATATGGTACAACATTGATAATACAATTAATTACACATGTGAAAAAAGGGAACACCCATTTCCTTATTTGGTCACAATCGGATGTATGTCGCCACCTCCAATATGGCCGCACATCCGGTTTTGGACACAATTTGGGTGCCATCTTGGTGTCCCAAACATATAAACAATCCGAAGGGAGAAGAGGCAATTCCAAGTATAGATAACCATAAATATATAAAATACCTTCTTAGCAAGGACAACAACAGCAAGATAAATAGCCTGTTGGTGTCTATGCTGCTCGAAGGGTATATATAAAAAAATCCCATTAGGTCCTTCCGGTTTTAACGTCACTTTCAGTGACGTATTGATCCGTCCATCGCGTCACTTCCAGTTTTGCCGGATCATTAAAGAATGTATCTTTTCTCCTTCCATACTTGTAATAGTCCATGTGTTGAAATCTTTATACTCCGGTGAAGGCAAAGATGCCATTTTTAAATGGGGTAAACCAAGTCCCATATTAAGTAGTAATAATATGTAAAAATATATAAAAAGAAACAAGGGTAAGTATAATTGCCTCCACATAAAAAAACATTCCAATAAATTTATAGATCAAATGTATAAATATAAAAGATATACAGTTAAAAGGAGAAAAAGAAGAAAGTGCCTACAGGTCATAATAAATAAAATGCCCCACTAGAAAACATCTAAAAAAAGCAAACATGTCAAAACCAGATCATATAAAAAGTCCAAAAAAGAGAGGTCTCAATAAAAAATATAACCTGAAACAAAGGGGGCAATAGAATGGATATAAAAACGAAAAATTTATAGAATATTATTAATTTCAAAATCGATGTTAAGACCTTTAGGGGTTAAGGTGCATAGTTCAAAGATCCACTTAGATTCTTTGATGCTGAGGGTCTTTGCTATATCTCCCCCTCTCCAGTTTCTATTTATCCTTTCAATTCCACAAAAACTCAGATATTTTGGATCTGAATTGTGGTGTTCAGAAAAGTGTCTGGACACGCTGTGGTTGAGAAAGCTTTTCTTTATATTTCTAAGGTGTTCACCAATTCTAATTTTTAATTGTCGAGAGGTCTTACCCACATATTGAAACCCACAGGTGCATTCTAAAAGATAAATGACATTAGAGGAATGACATGAAATAAAAGATTTAATTGCATATTTCTTATTAGTAATAATAGAATAAAAATTCTCTATTTTTTTTGTTGGTTCTTATTGTATT